TTAACGAGGGAAAGAACACAAATACTTTTCAGCTTTTTGATTTTAGATCACTTTCTGTTTTCCCTATACAAACTTAGCCTTCATCAAAAATGACCAAACTGTGATAGAGCTGAACAATTTCTTCTACTTCCACTCTTAAGCATGGAAAGCGTTTGTTATCCCTCGGCCATAACAAACTTTTAAAATAGTCAACTATCACTTCACTGAAAACCATGTCATAACAGCAGACTTCCCTGACGTTCAGGAGTTACTTGGTGGAGGGAACTGGACAGACTTAGTACCTTAAGATAACTTCCCTACTCCCACATACTAATTCGTAGGTAGCATCTATGACACTGTTTGGTGGGATTTGTTGTTGTTTTTAAGCGGACCCTTCTCTGTGGGCCTCAGGTTTCTCAAGTCACTTAGGTTCTTGCCCCAAACCTAAAACTACCGAAGATGCATTGACCAGATTGCCATCTGAACCAAATATTACGCCATACTTTGATATAAAGCTGATTTCATGCATCCAGTACTCAGCTCCCAGCACAAAATCCTGCGAGGCCATTCGCTTCCTTTCTCAGAAATGACTAGAGAAACAAACACAGTATAATTGGCACATACCTTGAGAAATAAAAGATTTTGTTCTAATGAAAGAACGACCCTTTTTCACAGCTGCTTTTGTCTTTTCCAGCCCATCTTTGGTACCTTCTCTAGCAGCTCTCATAAGCTTTTGCATCTGTAAGATAAAAAATACAGTCTACATGTTCAGTGAATAATAGGAACACGTTTGAGCATACCATGCAGAATACTTTCAATCAAAATATCTTTAAAAAGAAGACTGTCAAGTAGCTTAGGCTATAAATATAGCCCAAAATCAAAGGAATATACAGTAAGTACACAGAACCATCAAAGCTCAGATCTAAGTGCCTGTACTTTTTCTTAATAAAAATCAAACCTGGAGAAAGGGACTTAGTTTATGGCAATATTTTATGCAAGCCTAAAATAGCAGAAGTGCTTAAGGACCCTTCTGCATCAAACATCTGAACTCAAAATAGTCTCAAATACTCAGCTGTACATTACATAACAAATAAATACTACGAACAGGTCATTAACAGCCAAGGTTCTGGTCCATCTTCCAACGTCCCACTAACTCTGTCAAAGTATTTCTGACCTAAAGATAAACCCCTAGACTCAGTTCTATATTAACTATATTCTTAAATAAACACTGTTTTGCAGAAAATGTCACAACTAATAATTTAATTAATTGAATACATTGATTTAATTAAGAATTGCACAATTTTATAGTATGCTACTACAGCAAAAAGAAATTTCATGCAAAAAAAATAAAAATGAAGCGTTGTTTCGCTAGGAAATGTTTTGCTTTCCCAAAATGTCATCACATCAAAAAATCCCCCCCTATTGTCAGATCTGTGCTGACATCATCAGTGACATCAGAACACAAAGCTCTCTTGCTGCAATCAGGCAATTTCTTGGTTTGAGCCAAAGCTTTTAGCAAAAACCCAGTCTTTTTGTACTGGCTCCATTCAGAACAGAGAGGAGGGAGACTGGCTCTCGCGATTTGATCCGGTGTGGTCAGAGAGCCAGGGTCAGGCTCACCCTGCAGAGCTCACCTGGGTCTCAGCGAGGCGCCAGGGCTGCACCCCGGTTCACACTCTGGGATAAGGGCACCGGTCAGCAGGGGAGGACGATGCCCCCTCTCATCTTCCAAAACTCTTACCATTAAAAATAAGCATTTTATGACAAACTGCATCATAATAATCCAGCACATTTAGAATTCATTTCATACAAATTATTGTCCGCTTTTTCAAGTAGTTATTAAAAGAAAAAGTTATTAAATTAAAACATTGTCTCTGTTGGAAAAGCAATCATTTAAACGTAGCTAGTTACAAAAATCAACTACACTACCTTCAGCTCATGTTTTTGCTTTAGTTGCTGAATCTCTACTGCTCCCACAGTGTTTGCCATCAAATCTTTCATCTTTTTTTCATAATGCTCCTTTAAACGCGTTAGGTCATGAGAAAGCTACAGTGTATAAAAAGACACAATCTTTTCAAAAAGCCTGTAGTGCAAACTTCATGCTAAAGTACTCACATATATCATGCACCTTGCCCCCTCTGCCTACTGATACACAGACAACCGGGGGAAAAAAAAATCACCATTTAGGGAAGCTCCAACCTGACAAACAGGCCATCGCTCCTGTGCATCACTGAACTTTCTGAAACTCAGCCAGGCACCTTTCTGCTACCCCCACAACTATGGAAAGAGAGAGGCAAAGTCACTTAGGCTAAGCTAACTGTGCATTAACTATACGGTGCACATCTCTTATAAACCCTACGGAAACAAGGCACCAGCCTTACCCCTGAACATCATTCGTTGGAGCACAAACCCTAGCAAGGATATTTCTGACTATCCTTCAAAACAGTGAATCGGAAGAATTCTCAAAGGCTGAAGAACCTGCAGAGCTTGCTGGCACCTGAGAAGATGGACAATGCCAGTGAGTGGGGCAAGGAGACACTAACAGGGGATGATGCGCTGTCTTGTAATTACTATGTGCATCTATCATAGCCTCATTGTATGACCATGGGTGTAACCACCTCGTACATGAATATATCCATTTGCAAGGTAAGGAAACCATCGCAGAGAATGCTCTGGAATACTAATTAACATTTGTTAAACATTTTGAGAAAGTCAGATAAAAGAGGTTAAAATGTAATGAGGAAAAAAAAGAAAATATTTGGTGCACCCTGTAAATAGAAGTCCAATGGAAAAACCCTCAGCTTGATGTAAACAGAGTTATTTGGCAAGAGATGAAAGCATCAGGAAAGAGAAGGCCTGATGAGTTGAAAACAAAGGGACAGGTCCAGCATTTAGCTCCACTAGGCTGGGTCAGGATGCGATTACCTCCAACATGATGATTCTGGCATTATGGCAGTATAATTAAGAACAACATCTGGTTCGCAGACTAGAAATATTTAGTAACACAGAAAGCCTCCTGTCTTTAAATAAATAAATAAATAATAATAATCAGGAGTCATAATGAAAAAGTGACTTTGAGGGAAGTCATACCAGGACTTAAAATTAAAAATTCCACCTCCAACCTTCCCATACTTTTCAACAGACACCAAAAATAATCAGCAAGGCAAGTCCTCATAGGCTCTGAAAGGCTACAGAAGGGGACGTGCTGGGAAAATACTGCAACATCCATCACAAGACCTGAGGAGAACTGAGAGTTAGGGCAAGGAAGGGATACAGAGAAAAGATATACAGCAGAGTGCTTTCCACCTGTGTTGAAGTGCCAGTGCAGGGAGAGTTGGGAGTTTTTGGGTTGGGATTGGTTTGGGAGGTTTTTTGTTTTGGTTTGGTTTGGTTTCTTTGGTGGTTTTTTTGGTTTTGTTTTTTAATTCAGCAATCCTAAAGTTTCTGTCTTTCCTCACTCTCCATCAAATCCCTTCCCAAGTTTCCTGACTTCTCCACCTCCCAGTAACCCATCCAGGTGCAGTAGCCTCTCTGACTTCTCCACCCACCATAATGTGTTCCTAGGCTCCTCATCCTCATCCCCACAAGGGAATCCTCAAAACTTTTTGTCAGAGGCCTGGAAAAGGCAGCTGCAGGGCAGCACCCCAGAGCAGATCTCTCTCCTCCCATCACTCCTCGGTCTCTTGCTCAGACACTCTGCGGTTGATCCTGGCACCACCACTCTCAACCCACTGCCAACAGTTTCCTGTGACAGATCAAAGTATACTTAGAAGTGTTTAAAAAATGGCTTTAAACCTTGCATTGTGCACATGTGTAAATAGATTCCTATGACTATGGCCAAAGCTGAAGCTACAGATAACTGGAAAAGATTAAAAAAAGGAACAAACCAGTAGCCATGTTTAGACTTACACATTCACATGCAAAGTAATTTCCTAGTCTCTTCCAAAGGTATTAAAAACACAAAACAAACCACCAGCCTCAAACTCAGTTTTCTTCAGTCTAGTTAAAAAACTCCCCAGAAAGAAACCACCGCAACAGCTTAAACTTGTTCTAGTCAGGACAAACCAAACCAAAACCAGAGGATGAACACTCCACTTAAAGGACTGATTTGGGTGGGCTCAGGTCTTGCAGCTAATTGTGCTCTCTCCGATTCCCAAAGGGTGGGCAGCAAGGATGGAGGTGGGGGGAGAACAGATAATGCGTACTGGAGGGAAACGCAGACAGGCTTTTATTCTCATCAAGATAAGAAACCTGCAACAAGAAATTAAGGGTCCCATGGAAAAATCTTGGCTGCTACCCCTATGTCCTCCAGCCCCGGGCTGCTGGAGCAGTGAACAGTACAGCTGTGCCGTGGTTCTTGGGGGTCTACCCCTGCCAGCACACACTCGAGGGGCTCAGGATTTTGCAGTGATTCTGGGCACTGAGCCCAGCCCTGCCTGTCCCCACTGTGCCCTGCAGCCCCGTCCTCCAAGCGCTCAGAGCAGGGAACCGGCTGCCCGATCACAGGCAAGGCTTCCCTCTCACAGAAAGGGCACACAAGGGCAGAAGAAGAGGAGCCAAAGCAGCAAGAGCATGGGAGTCCGGGGCTCCTTCCGAAGCACAATCGGATAGACGCAGTAAGGGCAGGTACCCACGCTGTCTGTGTCTTCCTGCCTCCCACGGCGGGGATGTAGCCAAAGACATTCCACCAGAGATGTGTCACAGATGGAACATTTTAATCACACTACTTCTCTCCTTAATAAATGGTACAGACTTCTCTTTCATCACTAAACACCTTTTATTTCTGGGTGTTGTTGTTTTAAGCTCAGTCACCTTCAAACCACCAAAGTAATACAGATCTAAGACAGAAAGGAAGGGAACACTGGTGAACACTTTCGTGACTTTTGAGCACCTGAAGGATCCCAAAACTTTGAGTCTTGTCAGGCTTACCCCCACATTTGTTCTTCACATTATTTTCCACATTCATTTACCACTTACACTCATCCAGCAGCTGCAAAAGAAGAAGAGGTGAGGAACTGCCCACAAACAAAAATAATTTCATTTTTAACTTCACTTTTATCCAATTTGAGCTTTTTCTTTTTTTTAAGGAGCTTCCGTGTAATATTTTCATCTTTTCTTTTCCCTGGTACATTTTGCTGTGGACTGTCACTCCCACACTGATTCACGTCTCCTTTAGAAAGACGTTGTTGGCATTTGAAACTGGACTGAGGAGGAGGGAAATACAGGTAGGAAAGGAAAGTGCTGGAAACCAGGATAACCTCAATGACTGAGCAGCACTGCGGGATACATACATGTCTCTTGTGGTTGCCTCGCAAAAAGGAGCTGGGAATTCCATTTTTACACTCAGAATCACTCTGTTCTTCATAGCTTTCAAACTCACTTGAACTCCACCCATATTCCAGCGAGCTGTTGCCACCATCATCACCGTTTTCAACATCATCATAAATCATTTCCTCTGCAAGAATTAAACCAAAATAAAAAAAAGCCTCACTGAAATTTCTGGATTTTTAAACACAAAAAAATTTTCAGGATGTACTATAAAGAACTATACAGACTTTTGTACGCACGTTTTTAAATGTGAATTAAATCCAATCTCAAAACAGCCAAAGTGAGTTGTCTTTGTTGAAACAGAGTACTAAAAGAGGACAGTGTTATGGGTACAGACCACGATCCTTTTAAAAACATGCCCTACTCAAACTACACCGTTACATCCAAATACCATGCCATGCTTTAGAAGAAAGTCAAAGGATGTTCAAACTGTAGCTGTGAACACATGTCTGCCCTGAGAAGAAGCATCGTTCCATTTGCAAGCTTGCCACTTGTCCCTAGGAACATCTTCAACATCAGCTCAAATGCTAAAAAATTGCAAGTATCAAATGGAAATATCATTACTTCAAGCAGAATGGATCAGACCAAAGTAGCAAGAAAGGTGTTAGACTATGATATTTTATAACTCACCATTCTTGCAACTCCACCAGTCAGTAGGAGTCTCCCATATCTGCAGGTTACCTTGCCCGTAACCTAGTCTAAAATCTTGAAGTATTAACCTTTTCAAGATACAGAAAGCTGTATCGCAAAGGCTGACCTAAGTACCACCTGTTAAAGACAGGAGTCTTTTCATTGGCACAGATGTCAAGTATGACAAACTGACTCAAATCAAAATGGAAAATTTTTAGTGCCAATTACTTATCAGGAAAGAGGCATGCACTCTACATGCAGCATCATTTGTCATTATAAGTACAGAACTGTGGACACTTCTGCCAGGGATCCCTACTGTCAGAGGTTATAATGCAGCATTTAAAACTGTCTCATATTAACTTCAGTAAACAAAGTTGTGCTTTCATTTTGAGATTGAAGTTTTATTTAAATCGAGAAAAAACATGTACTTGAAAGAAAAGCTGACGTATTTTACACATCCATCTAAACCTTGGATTCTGCGATTTAAAAACTACATTTTGACCAATAATAGTATTTTAATATTAACATTAATTAAATTCTTTATAATTAACACAGAGGAATCTCCTCTAATTTGGAAGAATCAAATATTGCGAGGGTTTTTTTTTAAACCGCCATGCATATCAAGACTGTCCTTAAAATATACTTTCTGAAGAAGACATTTTAGTGGTAATCTAGCACAATGAATAATTTAAGAGAATCATCATAGTAAGTAAGAGTTATGCAAGTCAGATTTTTGCAATGCCAGTACTGGGGCAGGATTTACCCACTGATTTGCTGGACATATCTTGTCCACGTGCTAACGTAGACTGAGCTCTGATTGTGACTTTTTTGTAGTAGTTGTGTCTCCCTGACAAAATACACAATTAATAAACATCAAGATCATGAACGTACAAAGATGAAATTTCCCTCACTACCTATTTTCTCAGAATCTTTCAATGTCTTTGGGGACAAACTGAAAACCAAAATTTTAATTAACATCTTCTGGGTTAAACTGAAAATTCTGACTCAGATGCTGAGCAGAGCTTTGCTCCGTGTCCCATCCCCCTCCACAGCTCAGCCTCCCGGTCTTGGTGTACGTGGTTCCTGACTGAGCAGCGACAGCGCAAAGATGTCCCTGCCCAGAGCAGCAGAGTCCACCAAGCGATCTTCCAGTAATAAACGCATTCAAGTCACGAATCTAACATCATACTTTCAAATAATAAATGAAATAAATTTCAGTAATTATTTGTAAAACACCTTGCCTGAAAGCCACTAAGGACAAGAAATGAAAATGTTACAGCTTTAAAGATAAATGTGGTTTTCACACAAGAAAGCTTAAGTGTTTTCTTGAATCATCAACAACTTCCTATCAAACACCTACACCCTCTGAGAGCCATGACAAGTAGCTGCTGAGTTCCTCATAAGCCGAGCCACTCAAACACAAAATCAGCTAGTAGCAACCAATCTTTAAGCACAGTCTTCACTATAACCAAAACCTGCAAAACAAATCTGAGCGAGAACTCATTGAAATAAGCTTCTTGGTCCCTAGCTCCACTATTCCCAGCAAAAGTAAAATCTTGGCTCCAGCAACTACTTTGAGATCTATTCTGCCTGTTCCAAATGTGGTCACACCGTCAGGAGCTGCACCGCTCCAAAGCTGAAATAAAACATTTCTGTAGAGTCACAGTCAGGATGCCAAACAGCCGCTCTGAATCTCCTCTTCCATCTATCAGGTATTTTTATGTTGAAGGGGGACTTCCAAGAAAAGAGCAGGTCTCTGTATAACCATGACAATGATACATTATCATCCATTATTTAACACACCCTTTTCCTACCTACCTTGCCTTGTTTAGGTCACTATAGCTACAACACTCAACACTGTAATTCTCTAATATACAGAATACTCAAGCATTTGGGACAGTATCTCTAGAATAAAGCAGATTTCAGCTTCTGTTTTAGACCTGCTGAGATTAAGTCTTTCAAGAGTTAGTTTAATTCTGAACTTTGTAAGAGCTAGTGATTATTGACACAATGTTAATTCCATTTACATATATTTGAGGTACTTAATGAATGTATCTGTTCAGTAAACACACACAGAATACCATGTTACATTGCTTTCAATGTGGACTGTATTACAAAGACCTCAAACCTGGTTCAGAGTCTGAATTTTCTCTTGGCACATCATCATAAATTACTTCATCTGGATCTAAAAGCAAAACAGAAAAAAAAGAGCAACAACAAATGAGAAATTCCTTAAATTTGAATGGGACCAATAAACAGTGTTTAAGAGGCATTTGGACAATGCCCTTAATAACATGCTTTAGCTTCCAGTAAGTCCTGAATCAGTCAAGGCAGTTGGATTACATGATCGTTGTAGGTCCCTTCCAACTGAAATACTCTGTTCTATTCTAAAGAATTTTGGTTAATTAGCACATATGAATACAATGGAGATATGGCTCATTCTCCACTAGCATTTTGCTAGTACACCTAATTATCATTCCAATAATGCAATAATGCACAAAATCAGTATAAGGTATTTGTGAAACCTCACACAGCTTTATCTGCAGTTTATGATGACCTTTGGTAGCCTGAAAACAGAAATCCACCTCAACAGTCAACATTTCTCTCTTCTCTTGTGCTTGTCGAGGGCTGCTCATCGCCTTACTAAAAGGCTGTAGAGAAGCTGTAATAGACATTTTTTGAAAAGAACCAAAATCATTAAGAAGTAGAATGAGGATGCAAATTCTACAGTCACTTCAAGTGACACGTAAGATGAATCTCCAGCCCAGTGGGAAGAGCTGAGAACAGGCAGGACAACCTGTCCTCAAACTACATGGTCTCTCTCCTGGTGCAAAATGCAGCTGCCAGCCAAGGGCACATACTGAGAAAGAGTGGCAATTCCTTCCCTTCCACCTTCTCCAAGAACTTATTTGCCAATTACTGCATGAGAAGAACAGTTTCATATACAGCCACAGAGCAGACTCTGAACTGGAGCAAAATTCCACTGTACATGTATTGATGGAGCCAAATAATTTCCTTAGGACAGTGACAAATGATTCCACAGACTCCAAAAAGTACCCCGTGGAAAAATGAATGTTAACTTTATTCTAAAGCACAGAATTTTATTACACTGTTGAATGTTTTAACTGGTATAACCTGGTTCTGGAACATATCTGAAAAAATACAATAAAAGTGAACATGGACGTTCCTGTAAAATAGACATGTGCATATAGATACACGCATACTGTTGATCACAATTTAAAACTGACCTTCTTCTATAGTTGTACTTTGGTGTTCACTGATACTTACTTTCCATCCATGCTGTATTTGCAGGATCTGCAACCCACTTGGCCAGAGCATCATCCTCTCTCTTGGCCTGATTATCTTCACTTGAAAAAAAGGCCATAAAATAAAAGCATTAAAAGCTACACCACAATTTTTTTTAAACAACTGTGAAGACAAAACAATAAGTATTGTCTTATGCAAACATGGAAGCGTCACACAAGAAAAATACAATATTTATCAAATGTAAGCTTTCTTAGGAATTAAGGTTTTACAGATCATTAAAACATGTTGAACTGGCAATCACCTATTTTGAGGCTCCACTGAGTTTACAGAATTACAATGGCATTCTTCAGTTGCTGACTGCATACCTGCTAAATAGAAAAAAAAAATATTATCACCAAAATGCTTGGAATAAAATGTCAATGTGGTTCATATGGTACATTTTAGCATAAGAAACTGACTTCACTAGTTCAGTGCTAATGAATAATCTACTTCTATACAGTATTTTTATTCTTAAACACGTCTAAAGAAACCTAGAAGTTTCTTCACTCTACCCATTTTTTGCAAATGAAAGAATTCAGACACAGCAATTTAGTATAAGAGCTGTTAAGAGGACATTACAATGGCTGATGCATTTAATTCTGATCTCTCAAACATATTTCTCTACAGGTAATAACAACCACACAAACATTTGCTTTTACTTGCCAATAGTCCTAACGCTGGTAGACAGAAAAGGCTGCAAAATAAAAAAAGTAACACAGTACATGGAATTACAGTAGAATTTCTGTCTAGCACAAGAACAGTATATTCAAAATACAAGAAAGAAAAAAAAGGCAGGATATGGGGAGCTTTCTGTTCCTCCTGCTCTCCTGACATTAAGCTGTTAGTTTTGCCATTTCTGGTTACAAAATGAGGGACTGTTCCTGTTTCTGTAATAATCCATAGTTGTTTTCCTTTCAGGTTTCCTCTTCTGTCTTAAAATTGTATTAAAGGACAAACAGAATTCGTCAAGTCATCAATGAAAAAATCCCACAGCAACTCTAAATCCACAAGGATTGGAAAACAAACAAACAAACAGAAGTGCATAAAGAAAAGGTAAACAGAACAGCAACTCTGCCAGGACCTAGGTAAAGCATGATAACGTATGAGAAGAAAACATTTGGCTTGAACACTGAAATATGGCTCTGGAAATTATTTCATGACATTAAAAGGGAATTAGCATTAATCCCTCTTAATGGCAAGATAAAACAGGAGCCCTCCCTTGTTCTATACGGTGTAATACGGTGCCAGCAAAACAAAGGTCAAGCAACACCAACTTAAGGAAGGATTGAGAAAGAACTGACTGCATCCGTTTGTTTTTTCTTACGCATCTTTACTTAGGTATCTCAATCCTAGTATGGCAAGCACAGTCCGTAGGAATTTTTTTTTTTTTTTAAAGTTTTTTTAAATAAACTGACATTTTTCTTCCAAGTCTTACATGACATTCTAGTTCATCCTGCAGGAGAGAGATATTTTTCTTTTTTGACACAAAACATCCCCCCCACACACAAGCATTTACAAAACAGCACAGGTATCTGAAGTCGAACAAAGATTCCCCTTCAAATAAAGTAAGGTAAATACAATACAAATAAATACAGTACCTTCTTCATCTACAGAAACACTGCGTATTATGACAGGACTGGAATATGCTGGCAGTATCAAAGGTAAATTAGATGGCACAGCATAGCCACAGGGGACCGGAACAGAATATCCACCGGGCACGTTTGGACTTGCACATTCGTCTTGAGGACTCAGTTCTGGTGATGAGGATGGATCCTTGTCTTGGATTGGTGAAATATTTATGACTGAGTAGGGATTTACTTTGGCTGGAGTGCCTTCTGCAGCAGGTTCTGATGTTTGGAGCTTCTCGTTGGTTTCTAAACTATCAGCCCCTTTAGTTGAAAAATAAAACAAAAAAATAAGTTTTCGGTTTCATACTGTTCAAGCTGCTTAATATTGCTCTTTGCAAGTATCCTAAATACTGATACGATCCTTACTGTACAAGCTGCTTACAATCTAGGACTCATAAAATTCCCACATGGCAGTGCTATCCTCCCCCTTTTACAGATAAGGAATGCAACAGGAGCAGAACAAGCTGGGTTACAAGGGTGCCCTATGGAAAAACAATTAACTGGATTCTAAATCCTGAACAGGAGGATTTCTGACAAGTAGCCAGGGTCTTCTTTTGCTTGTCGTAAGCACACAGCTCAAAACAGCCTTAAACCCTGAAGGTTAAAAGCTGGATTCTAGATGAATTTGGATGTTCTAACACAAATACAAAAAACATTTCAGGAACAGCCATGAGGAGAGAAAAAGTTCACTGGAGTGAAATGCCTCAAAGAATAGTCCTGAAAATGATCTGTTAAGAAAAGGGGTAAGAAAATAACTATCCAAGTTTTCTTCTTTGAAAATAAATTATTTTCTGTTACACAATGATCCTGGTATTTCTTGAGACAAGTTGAGGTACAGCAGAACCAAAGGCCCCTCTGAAGCGTGCTGCAGAACTGCATCTCAAGTGATCAAAGGTTTTTGAGTTGTAAGCACAACTTCACAAAAGGGTGAGCAAGCAACAAATTTTCAGGGAAAGATGGTGTTTTCGTTTTAGGCGTCAAACTGCATAGTCACCTGAAGAGTTATCTATCTTTAATTGCCACAAGCACAATGACTCCCCTTACAAAAGGGAACTGGATCAAATCTGCAGCAAAATCAGCTGTTGTCGATTTGAGCAGAATACAGTGATTTCCAGACTACACCTCAGCACTGGGAACATCTGCATGTGTCATGACAAATGTTTTAATGTTTAATAAAATAAGACTTCTGTTTATGAACAAAATTCATACATTCAGACTCCATGTATTATTATGCATGTCATCTTAAGACCAGAAACCAGCAAGCTTAGCTGGGAAAGCAGCTTATCTCAAGCCATCCACGTGCTGCAAGGGCATAAAGTTTTCCTGTAGCATGGCACTGCGCCTGAGATCAATCCATTGGTTCGGATGGCACACTTGGATGGGAAACCTCACAGGAATTACACGTGACGGTCATTTGCCTTGCCTAATCTATCATGAGTGTAACTATCAGGAATATGCAAAACACTTCTATGGTATTTTTATGGAAATCTCTTTTTCAAGTATTTATATTGCATTGTCAAGAAAAGGCATCCCATAATCAGTCCTGACTATTTAGCCTGGTGGAGGCACAGCCCGACAGGCTGACTTACCTGTGGTGTTAGCCTCTTGCAGCTCTATGTTATTTCCAGGATCAGGAGGAGGTGGCACAAGGGCTTGCCTGTCTGCTTCTGGTATTTCGTCTCCACTGTCAAAGTCAAACTGTTCTCCCTCCTCCTCCTCTTCATCGTTTGTACCCGTGGCTTTTGGTTCATGCTCTAGAACTGTGCAGAAAGACAGGCTTTTGGTTGTTTGCTCTTAATAATGATTTCATGGCACCAGTAAGTGTTCCACATTACGAATGAAGCTTATACAATGAATCCTTAGATTTTCAGCTTACTGGAACAGAACAAAAGCTCCTTGACATGTTGATACCCTCATGCAGTTTTCAATAAATCCTTTAGTATAAGCAATGAAATTACTTCGAAAGCAATTAAGAAGTGATAATGCAAATACCCTTGCTTTTGTCATAATGAACCAAAATCAAAGCATTTTTAGGAAAACACTTCAAGTAGCCAATTCTTTCAATGAGAAAAAGTTCACAGATTAATTTATTTGTACTTTGTAACTTCAAGTCATTTTTCCTTTCTAACTCAAACTTCAAAGTCTATTCTTTCTTAACAGTGTCAAAACACCAGTGAAGGTAACTTTCTTCACACACATCATGGAAGACCATCAGGTTGGTTTTCCTACTCCAACCTGAGACAGTTTTAAACCAACAACCTCATGCAACATGCTATTAGCTCTATTACCATACACAAGGTGCACTTTGGTGGAGGTGGGGGGGTTGACTTTTCCATTCTTACCTTGGAAGAAGTAACGGCCAAAATAAATACACCCTAATATGGATAGGAAGTGGGAGCGTGGGGGTTTTTTTGTCTTTGCTTGTGAAGATCTTGCAGCACATATGTGGCTCCGTACATGTGGCTGGGGAGGGGGAGCAGGAAGAAGTGTCGGGCAGTTTCCCTCCATGCTGTTGTTCTTACCTGCAAGAGCCTGGAGAACCCACGAAGATTCAAACCCCCTCGCTGCCTTACCTACCACTGGTTTTGCCATGCCTTCACATCACAAGAAACCTGCCCACAGCATCCAAAGCTTCTGCCAGAGACACTGCAGAGAGGAGGCAGAGCCAGAGCAGCTGCAGAGAGGGATGCCCAAACCCACCAGCCTCCTCCTCCCTGCTTCCAGAAGCCTTCATTGCAGCTCCCCAAAACAAAAGGGCTTCATCCATCCCTCCCCAGACCTGCCTTAGTTGCTCCCCCACCTTCTCGAAGAGAAACTCTTATCAGAGGTCATCTTGAGGCAGAAATGTCATCTGTGGAAATTTTTTGGCCCTGCTGACCTTCCTCCCAAGCTCTTCCTCAAACCTACGATCAATACCTAACTTTTACATAGGTGTTCAACAGCTTATTTAAAATGTTATAAAACAACCACGTAACCATAGCATGAAAACATATACTAAAATAGATAAATACGTAAATACACCAATATGTCATAAAAATATACATGAAGTTGATAGGGTTCCCCTGCCCCCTCTTCAGGTAATGCAATATGAAAAACAAAGTCTTGCAAGGACGACTGGATGTCCTTAGTCATTATGATGTTATCAGCTTTTCTACCATCCAGGACACGCTTTTTAAAATCTTGATGATAAAACCCATACAAACCACAGCTCTGGACTG